TGACAGTATCACGTTGCGTAATGCTTTCATAATTTCATCTGTTTGTGTTTCCTTCACAATTTCTGTCTTGCTATGTGAGGAGACAGGTATTGACACAGTAACCATATTTACATAATTGACAATGCCCTCTTCGGTACTACTCTGTCCTTCAGCGTGTTGATCTACTGCTCTTGAGAGCGTATCTGCCGTATACATAAATTTCCCTGGGGTGAAGGACACATTTAAATCGTATCGTTCAACTCTTATTAGCAATCGTTGAACTCTCAATGGACAATCACACAGGGACTTTTTGAACAATGGAATCAGGGGTTTGTGATCAGTTTCCACTTCTATATGCTGTCCATATATGTACTGATGAAATCGTTCACACGCATAGACTATGGCTAGCAGTTCCTTTTCAATTTGGGCATATCTGGTCTCTGCTTCCGACATTGCCCTTGAAGCATACGCCACAGGAGCCCAGGTTCCGTTATACTGTTCCACAGGAGCCCATGTTCCGTTATACTGTTGTAAGAGTACGGCACCTAGACCATCCCGTGAAGCATCTGAAGAGACTTTAATAGACTTTGTTGGGTCATAGAAACGCAAAACTGACTCTGTGACAAGAGCTACTTTTAGCAGCTGCCAAGCTTTTTCTTGTGCATCTTGCCACATCCATTGATTTCCTTTGTCAAGTAAGCTTCGAAGTGGTGCTGATTTTGATGATAGGTCTGGGATAAACTTACCCATGTAGTTCACCATTCCCAAAAATCTCTGTACATCTGTCTTGTTCTGTGGTCTTCCCATGTTCTGTATAGCTGATATTTTCTGTGGGTCAGGCTGAACTCCTTGATCACTAATGACATCACCAATGAAGGTTAACTTTCTCACTCCAAATTCACACTTTGCTCTATTGAGTTTTAGGTTGTTATTTTTCACTATGTCCAAAACCTGTTTTAAGCGCTCATCATGTTCAGCTTCAGTTGATCCCTATACTATAATGTCGTCCATCATAGTGTTTACACCAGGAATCTCTGCAAACAGATTATGAACCAATTTGTGATATACCTCTGGAGCACTGCTGATTCCAAAAAGTAGGCGCAAGAATCTGTACCTACCAAATGGAGTGATGAAAGTACATAACTTGGAGCTATCTTCATCCAGTTGGATTTGCCAAAATCCACTTGATGCGTCAAGTTTACTAAATATTTTTGCTCCTGAAAACTGTGCAGTAATTTCTGCCCTTGAAGGC